AAATACTTTTCTAGTGCAATGCACATGATTAAAAAAGTCTCAGTTTAAATTTATGTTTAATATACTAAACATTAATTTTCATACTTTTAACATAAATAGTGGTAATACTTATATAAGTTTAAAAATGGATTTAAAAATAATGAATAATACTTTTATAACTAAATAATTGACAAACAGCAACAACTATAAATTTTTAACTGAATAATTTATTTACCCAAATAACTAACATTGTCATTGTCATTAATACAATAATAACATTTACTGAATTGAACCACAATTATTCAAAGATATTAATTATTGTTCTGGATTTCTTTTGCAGGAATATGTGAAACAAAAATTTAAAAAGGAAATCATTTAATAAGAAATATTAAAACCAGATGAAATTTTCTTGAAGTTCTAGTTAAAAAGATTTATCATGCTACAAAGCTGTATAAAAATGAGTTTGATTGACAAATAACTCACATAGGCATGGAATTACCATCAAGGAAAAAAAATTTCTTCAGAAAATGTTTGTAATAGGTCTAAGATATATGCTTGGAGATGATTTTCACAAATTAAAAAGAATATTTTGCGCCATTCGAAAACCTTATGGTTTATTTATTGTTTCCATCAAAATCGATTTTTGTGGAATCATTAAAATGGCATTAAAGGAAAAAAATATTTTTGGTATTTTTGGATTAATCCTTAAATAACAAAAATATTTGTTTCCTTAAGTTTCAAAACAAAAGTTCCAAATTGATAAAACTTAGAAAAAAAAAAAAGTAAACTTTTATTTGTAAACAAAAATTTTCAGTTTTACATTTCTGTTGAGAATTATTGTCTGGTAATTATTTGTATGCTTACTGTTATATTGTAATTGTTAATAAATTATATTGTTTTTATAAATTTTAATTTTAAGTAAAAGGTTTTCTTGGCTTCCAATCAAGAGATAAGCAATATTATTAAAAATTTACGACTTGTAGAAACTTGGAAAACCCAGACTTGTAGTAGCGCATAAATATTTGTTGTCCAGATCTATTGTCACAATGCCTAGACTTTATCTCAAATTCAAAATTGTGCTAAAGTATGTCTGATGTGCTTTCAAAAAGGCTCAGTTATGGTGCTTACTAGAAGAAACTTGATACTTCCAAGAATTCAGAAATACTTTATTGAGAACCATGATCCCAATGAAGAGCATTTACCATCTGCTATCTGTGCTAGATGTAGACTAATTATTCTGAAGATTGAAAAAGGAGAAAACAAAATAATGATCTACCTGGTCCTTTTTTTTTTCTTTCTGGTCCTTTTGATTTTTCCAAAATTATTCTTAAGACTCTGACAAAGTCAAATCTTTTGTGCTGTTGCCTGTTTTGTGAAGTTGACCATTTTTATACAATTGGAATGAACCAAGGATCAGCTAAGGCTGTTCTTTTCCAAGTAGGAAGACCTCCAGTAGCAGTTAAAGATTTTTTAACATCTCCTGGGCCAGTTAAAGTTGACAGCCATTTGGTCGTGGAATTCAAATCCTTGTACTGTTCAAGATGTAATGAAAGATCTTCAGGCAGTTATTGGCCAAATTTCCCGTGCAGCAGAAGTTATTGCTTCTGATGTGATCAAAATAAAGTTTGCAGCATGGGGATGGAGGCTCAATATCTATTTTAGCGACAAGAAGGGGGGATTTAACAGCCACCAAAAGTGTAAATTCTAAAAAATCAAGAGCATTTCTGTTTGAACCCTGTGTCTGCTGAGGAAATTAGTAGATTGCAATCTACTTTATTTCTCTCTTTGAAACAAATTCACAAAACAGCTACTTTTTTCAGAACATGGAGTGGTCGCAAATTAATTGAATCAGGTTTGGTGGAAAAATTAAGGCAACAAGACAAAGCACTTGAACAATCTTTCTACAATTCTACAATAGTGGAATTTGTTGTTTACAGTGATGAACAAAAAGGAAAAGCTCAGCACTCAGTTAATTTTTGTAATGAGATTTTTGGATAAATAACTATCGAGATCTTCCACCAGATTAGTATATGATTGAAGTAGGCATTGACCAAGGTGTTGAGTTGCTTAAAGTTTGTATGAATATTATTGAATTATGAGTTTTATGAATATATTGGGTATCCAAAAAGAACAAATAAAGCATAAGTTTTCCTATTCAAAAGGTGCATCTTCTAAAGAATTTTTTTATTTAGGAGATAAGAAACTCAAGAGTTTGTCAATTGTTGATAGATTGTGATGGAATCTTATGAGAACTTAAAGCAAATTTTAGAGCTGATTTGTCTTAAAAGTGTTGTTTTTATTGTAGCTGTGGACAAAACTTGCAAATGCTTTTCTTGGATTAGGCTCAGCTGCATCCACATATCCCTGACCATGGTGTGAAACTTCAAAAAAAAATTTTTGAAACCAAGAAACCACAGAGCAATTAAGGACACTAGGGATAATTAGATCCAATGCCAATAATTATCAAAAAAATCTCAGTGTTAATTCAAAAAAATCAAAGTTCTTGGCAGTAAGCTACAAAAGTTGAACGAACCTCCCTCTACTTGATCTTCCAGATGAAAAAAAAAATCTAGATATTTTGCCAATCATGGATTTGCACAAGGTTCTAGGAATTACCAACAGGCATTGATCATTTGATAATCATCCTTAGCAAAACCATTTCTTGTTCTTTGAAAGCTACTGACTGACTGGTCAAACAATTTATCACCTACAGGCCACCAATCAATGGAGGAGAATTCAATAAAAACCTATGTAGGCATCTCCTAGACAATGTTGGGGTGCTAGAAGAGCTGCTTGCAAATGTTAAAATTGAAAATAAAGGAGAAAAACCTTTTGCTGCATTAAAACATTCAATGCAGCCAGACAAACATGCTTTAGAAATATCTTAATTTCCTTTTATAGAGATTCTATACTTTCTTTTGAGAGAGCATACAAAGCCCTTTGAATTTCAATTGCACCTAAAGTTTGTGCTGTTATCAAGCACATACCATTTATATCATTTATCCATTTATAGACATACCATTTATACCATTTATACCATATACACATACCATTTATACCATTTATCCGTTTATAGACAACCAGGCTGAAAAACATGATATTACTTAGAGTCCTCCAACTCTACAAAAATTCTCAAGAGGTTTTGGGTTTTGGAGAGAGCAAGCTTTTTAATTTTAAAATTATCTCTGGGTAATGAATTTTTATGATGTTATGATCTTTGTATGAGTCTGATTTTGGTTATTAATTAAAATTTAATTTTCTTTTTTTTAATTTCTAATAGTCCAGAATATTTTTTGCAGAATAGAGTTGCCAAAAAATCAAAGGATTTTGATGGAAACACTAAAATGGACATAACTTTCTCGGACGTTGAAAATATTTTTTTAAATTTGTAAAAATTATGTCCATGCATATACTCAAGACCTTGTCTGAAATTTTTCTAAGGAAATTTTTTTTTACCTTGATGGTAATTCCATGTCTATGTGAATTCTCATAAATATGATAGTAGTTCTTAAGGATATGTAAACAGCTCTGTCTCTTTTAAAAATTAAAAAAAGTTATGGTTTCCAAAAATTTAAATTTACAAAAAGTCAATTTAAACAAATAAGGCTCTACTCTACAATACCAATTAATTGGAGTGATTTTAATACTTTAAGCAAAGAATTTCAAATTTTTAATTTATAATTTAATACCACTTGAATGAGATCTAGAAATATTTATAAACTATTATATAATACTCTTCTAACAATGAAACATCAAAGAAAAATAAATATTTTCAAAATCCAGAATTGAAGTAACAAAATTAAGAATGAAAGACAAATCTATAAATGATATTGAACTATTAAAAAGTTGAATTTAGTGATTTTAATAAACAAATTTAAATTTCATACTTTTTAGCACATTATTGAATTATTCGAAAAATTCAAATAAAAAAAATATTCAAATAAAATAAATAAAAAATTGTTATTAAATTATTTAAACAATTTGAATATCAGAAAATAAGTGTTAAACCCTAATTATAAGACAACCGCTTCCAATTCATTTCTCACCTGTTTCACCTTATTCAACACACTTAAAGTTTGTAGACCATTGACTTTATAAAGTTATGATGAGAGTTTAAATCTTAATAATGACATTTAAAAACTTATATTTTCAAACATCGTGCTAGGTCTAAAATTTACTTAATATTATAGTTATAAATCTTGAAAAAAGATTTTTTTTATTTTTAAAGTTGTAAGACCTAAACCTTGTGTTCAAAAAATTATATCATTTTATGTTATATCAGTTTTTGCTTGCTCACATTTGTTTACATTCTTTTGTCACCAATCATGGAAGATAAAAATTTTTACAACTAGTTAACAAATTAAAATAAAAAATAATAACTAAAATTCCTAAAATTTAATATATATATATATATATATATATATATATATATATATATATATATATATATATATATATATATATATATATATATATATATATATATATATATATATATATAAACATACATATATATAAACATATATATATATATATATATATATATATATATATATATATATATATATATATATATATATATATATATATATATATATATATATAAACATATATATATATATATATATATATATATACATATATATATACATATATATATACATATATATATACATATATATACATATATATATACATATATACATAAATTAGCTGAAGCTGCAGAGACTTCAGTACATACATTGACTATCTTATAGCCTGCTGTTGCAAAGGATTGCTGCTACATTGAGTAACATTTATTTACTTTTGTTCATTATATTCAACATATATATCATTTTCATTTAAAAAGCTCATGAAAACTTTCAAATATCAGTAAAAGCAAAATGAAAATAATTGCTAGCTTTTAAATTGAAAAAAAAAATTTAATAAAGATATTTTATGGAAATTTATTAATAACTATGCGTTATTTTATATATAGTATAAATAATACAATAATAAATTTACAAAGTAAAATATCATACTGCATTGCTTTTCTTTATTGCTTTCATTAATTTGTTTATATTCATAACCATCTCTACAAGTAACAACTGAGGCCGATGATACAAAACCTTTATAATCAGTGAAAATTCCTTTGAAAACCTAAAATTAATTCTTAAGTTATAAGTTGAAAAAATTTGCTTTAAAAGATGCATAAATTTGTATTTAGTTTTTTTGCATCATTAATTATAATGATGAAAAAAAAAAAAAGACTATAGCTCAAGATGATCCATCTCATATTGCGTTACTTTAAATTCAATCATTAGCAATCAATTTTGAGGCTCTCAAAGGGATGTTAAACCTCATTTTACCTTAATACCTCATTTTACCTCAGTTTCCCCCTATATAATACATCTTCTATATAATACATCTTCTATATAATACATCTTCTATATAATACATCTTCTGTTAACCTATTGGTTGCAAGCTCTGTAAACCATAAGGTTTGGTTCATATCCTTTCCTATACACCTTAAATGGCTAATTACTATTATTTTCTAATTGCTCATTCTTAAACTTACAATGCCATTAAATTTACAATAACCTCAGTCTTATTTATATCTATCCATAACTGTTGAAATCATAGTAATAGTTCTTCTTTTGTCTTTGCAATCAAGCAAAAATTATTTGTATAGAATAGTTTTCATTGTAAAGTCTTATGCACACCAACCTTTACTTGAGAGCTATCACACATTCCAATTTGTTTTGATTGATATAATGACATTTTTCTACATAGCCATGAAAACTGTTACCACCCATTCTTCAATAACCTAAATACTTACAAACACGCTTTATTTTCTTTCTTTCTGTCAAAATCTTTTTTAAGGCCATTCAAAAATCTTTTTTATTTTCCAAATATTTGTCTTGAACTAGTTCTAAAATAAAGTTCGAAAATAAATATTGCATCATCTAAAATAAATATTGCATCATCTAAAATAAATATTGCATCATCTAAAATAAATATTGCATCATCTAAAATAAATATTGCATTCTCTTTCTTAGCTTAAAACCAAGCCGCATCTTATTGATAACTTCATTGTAAGTACTTTTCCATCCCTTAATGTAATCTTCTCTAACAACAGTATTTTCTTGTATTGTAATAATGTTTAAAAAAAGGCATACTAATTAATGATGGTATACTATTGTTTTTTAAATACTTGAAATTCCAATTTATCATAAACTATATCAACAGTAAATTTGATTCATACAATTATCATAATTTATTCAATTTATAACTTAAATATTAAAATATCTTAAGATAAAAAAATTTAAATGCAAGCATTAAACAGATTTCTAATCAAAGTCATCTTTGTTAATTTGAATCCTTTAAAAAGAATTAAAAAATGATTTTTAAAAATAGAAACCTTAACAATTAAATTAAACTTATAATATTTTTTCAATCATTAATTATAAATATGTTAATAAATAATAAAAAAAACTATATTAATAATTAATAAAAAATATTAAGAAAATAATACCTTTTCATTAACAGAAGATTTCATGGCTGATACAATATTTTGTGTTAATCTAGTTATGTTTTGATTTTTAGCATAGATATTTAAAGTAAATTCAATGGTCATACTATTTAATGCATTGTAGGAATTTGGAGAACACACAATAACAATATTTTCAACAGTACAATGATCATCGGACAATTTACAAAACAGGTTATCAATAACAATGTCATTTTTCATGGCATTTATAAATGCCTGCTTCATATGCAATTGCTGGGTTGCATCTCCACATTTTCCCGCAAACATTTGAAAGTGAGTTTTGATATTTTCAGCGACATTTTGAACTATAAAGAACAATTTTTTCAAACAAATAAGAAACTTATTTTAACAAATGACTTTGTATATTAGCCTTCCATAAAATGTCACAATGACATCATACTGAAATAGCGACCTGCAGGTGTTTCAGTACATACAGTAACTGAGGTTTTAGACAGGTATTATTTAGGAAGCATATGATATTATAAAGAATTTTTATTACAGCAAAAAAAAACTTTGGTTTTTTTTAATATTTCTTATTTTTCTTAGTTTTCTAAAAAAACTGACAAAATTAAAGTTACAATTTTTAAACATGAAGCAAAATATATTAGAAAAATACAAACTTAAATCCAATAAAGTATATAAATATAATGGCAAACAGAATTTATAATACAATAAAAAATATATGTGTAATAATGTAAAAATAGCAACAAAAAAAAAAAACAATACAAATTTCTTATTTTTTCATTTATACTTTTGTTATGTTCAAGAAAACTTTTTTTCACTTTAGAAATTATTTACATTTAATACTTATCCATTTATTAATTAGTTTTTTACATTTTTCCTATTAGCCATTAGCAATGCCACAGCAATTCATTAATATCTATAGTTTGTGAAACTGTTACTTCACTAACATCTATATTTATGTAAAAACTTATTTAAATATTAAAAGACAAAGTTAACAAGAATTTTCAAAAATTAAAAAAAAATGCTTATGTTTGGAAGTATATTTTAAAATTCAAAGAAAACAAAACTATTAAATCCAAAACCTGCAATCTTCTATCAAAGGAAGTTTTTTTAACATCTTCGCTTCCAACAAGGCTGCAAGCAACCCTAATTAATATTGGATAGTTACTGGAAGAGAAAAGATGAAGATTGTAGAGCAAGATAACAATTGACAGACGAATTTAAAGATTACAAATTATATAAATCAGGAAAGCAAGATGAAGGAAGTGAATTCCAAAGAACTGATGTTCGTGGAAAAAAACTAGAGGAATAAGAATTTTTGGAGCACTTAGGAACAGTAACAGAAAAAGGATGAGACTTAGATGAATAACGAGTAACACAAGAATGAATTTTAGTAGATGGCACAAGAGACGCTAGCTCTTTAGAGCAGTGACCATTATAGTATTTGTAGAAAGGAGAAAGAGAAGCAAAATTACGACGATGTGACAGAGGTTGAAGGTTGGCTGCAAGAGTAGGTCCAACTATGTTTACAATGCGTTTTTGCACCTTGTCTAAAAGAGAAAGGGCATCATTAGAAGATCCACCCCAGATATGGCAACAGTATTCCATACAAGGTCGGATTTGAGATTTATAGAGATAGAGAATAGAATCCAGAGTAAGAAAGTGACCAGCTCGATAAAGAGAAGCAACTTTAGCAGACGCTAATCTTGCAACGGATTTGATATAAGGTTTCCAAGAAAGATCAGAAGTAGGAGTTAATCCTAGAAGATGAAGGGTAGGAGACTCATCGAGTACATTACCGTTATAAATATAGGAAGGCTAAATTATTGCGATAACGATTGGCTAAGAAAAATGGAGTTTTATCTGAATATATCAGGTAGAACGCAACTAGTGGAATCAAGAGATGATATTGATGAAAAGTTCTTGGCAAACAATTCAGCTTTGTCTTTAGGTGAGGTGACAAAGTCTGAACCGTACAAAAGAGGTGGAATTACAGACTTGCCCTTATTATTGATACTATTAAAGATTCTCCAGAAGTCACGAGAGCCTAATTTTTGTGATGAAATACGAGATTTCATGATCTGAGAATAGCGGGCTTTGGCGATAGACAAAACTTTTTTACAATGGTTCCTAGCAGTAATAAACAGACGTCTGTTTTCTGGAGAATTGTTTTGCTGATAGATATGGAAGTAATGATTTCAATTAGCAATTGCAGCAGCACAATGTGAGGAAAACCATGGAGAAGAGTGAGGCTTGACCTGGAATCGTCGAAAGGGAATAAAGGATTCCATGCCAGCCTGAATTCATGAAGTTATGTAAGAAGCACATTTGTGAACAGGAAGACGAAAGATTTCTACCCAGGGGCCATCACGAAGAAAATCACGGAAAGAGTCCCAGTCAGCTTTAAGGTAGTTGTAAGATGTACAATGATAGGGGGATTCTGATGGTAAAGAAGAATGAGATAATAGTTTTAGAGAGACCAAACCATGATCAGAAGCACCTAAGGGTGAGTGTGGAGAAACTGAGCACTGACAAGGATTAGAAACAAGACATAGTCGACAAGTCGAGTAGAGAAGGTAAATGATTCAGGTTGTCTGGAAAGCGAGTTAGAAAGTTGACTATTTGAGTTAGGGATTAAGAAAGACAAAAGTTGTGGGCCTTAATGCCTACAGAGTCACTGACACTTCAGCCAAGCCATTCAGTGTGATGAACATTAAAGTCACCGACAACAACAATATTGGCTGATGGATAAAGAATGAGGGCTTGGTCAATATAATCAGAAATGACATCAAGAAGAGTGCAGTCTTGAGATGAAGGAGAGCAATATAGAACAAAGAGAAAGGTGATAGAGTGAAGTGGTGCTAAACGAAAGCACATAAAAGAGTAGTCTGTGGATTCAAACCTAGTTTCCCGACAAATGGGTGAATTCTTACGAATGTAAATGCCTAGGCCAAGCATGTGACTATTGGAGTCTTTACGAATTAAAGGAAGATAACCATCAACACTAAGATCACAAGATGAGACAGCTGAACTCAAATTAGTCTCACAAAGAGCAAGTTGGTCTGGTAAACTTTGCAAGAGATAAGACTCAACAGAAGAAAAGTTACTTTGAAGACCATGAATATTGGTGAATGATAGATTTAGCGAACTTGGTGATGACTGTGGTTTTTTGTGTTTTGTAGTTTTTGTTACTTTATTCATTTTTAAATTTGTTAAAGAACTTGACTCGAATTATAGATAGTACTCAGTACACTGTTTTATAGCCCAAGCAATTGCCTCATTTCTGCTAATAAACTCTAAGCCGTAATAAAGGGCTCCAATGTGGCCTCGGCAATGCACACCAAAAGTACAAACAGGCACACCATCCATGCGCAACATGGCACTGTTAGTATTCTCATATTTTTCAGCTGTTGATGGAACCAGCCTCTCTGAGAGCTACCAAGAGTTCGGGAAGCCTGACTACCAGCCGGTTTCAGAACCATAAAACTGAGTTTTAGAGCTGTACCCTCATTTGGAGATAATAGAATGAGTTGCCTAGTCATAAAAACAGAGACACAAGCAAAACCCATGCATCGAGTTAAGAAGATCCAGCGTTCTACATCTTAAACTGGAAACAATGTATTAAAAATACATCTGCGCCAGCAGTCAACAGATAGAATCTGTTTACCCCTTAAAATTAAATGAGATAAAAGCTGATAATATTCTATAAATTTCTTGATAAAATTTAAATTAAAATGCATCATTCAAAGGAACATTAATGTGCACACAAATAGTAGCATTTGTAATATTGGACATAAACTACATATTTTTTCCAGCAACATATGATAGAACAATAACAATAATGATAACAATATCAACAACAATAATTAGGTTAATAATAACAACTATTATATACACATAATAATATAATAATAATATAATAATAAATATATAATAATAATAATAACAACAATTTAAAAAATAAACCTGTACAATAATAAAACTGGTTAAAAATCTCCTGATAAAAACAGAGGTTGCAAAAGCATGTAAAATCAGAATTTTATAATAAATAACTTAAACTAAGTTAAATTTTTTACAACACTGTAAAACTTGTTATTTGATGTGGTTGAACATGTTCTTTCTTACTTGATGTGGTTGAACATTCTTTCTTACTTGATGTGGTTGAACATTTTGTCTTCTTTTTCAAATTAGGCTAATGCTTTAAAATGGCTCATATTAAAAATGAATTCTTCACTTCCTATAAGGCCGCAAGCATCCACTATTAGAGTTGGAAGTTACAGGAAGAAAAAAAATTTAAAAAAAGTTTAAAAAGCAAGGTTATGATTAACAGATCACTTAAAGGATTGCAAATTATATGAATCAGGAAAGCAACATGAAGGGAATGAATTCCAAAAGAACTGGAAAAAAATTATATCAATAAGAATTTTTGGAAGACTTAGTAACAGTCACAGTAAAAGATAAGACTTATTAAATGACAAATGAATGAGTTTTAGTAGTTGGTGTAAGAGATGCTAGCTCTTTAGAGCAGCGCTAATTATAATATTTATAGAAAAGAGAAAGAGAAGCAATGTTACAACGATGTGATAATGGTTGGAGGTTGGCTGCAAGAGCAGGTCTAACTATGTTAACAAAGCATTTTTGAAAAATGGTCTAAAATAGGAGCATCATTAGAAGATCCACCCAAAACATAGCAACAATTTTCCATAAAATGACAGATTAGAGATTTGTAGAGATAAATAAAATCCTGAGTAAGAAAGTGGTGAGTACAATAAAGAGGATGCAACCTTAGTAGATGCTAATTTTGCAATGGATTTGATATATGGTTTCCAAGAAAGATCAGAAGTAAGAGTTAATCCTAGAAGTTGAAGGGCAGATGACTCATCGAGTCATACCATTCATAAATATAGGAAAATTTAAATTATTGCGATGAAATTTGGCTGAAAAAACTTTTTGGGAACTTTAACTCAGATAAAACTCAGAGTTTTATCTGAGTTAAAGTTCACATACCACTGAGAGCCACATGCTGTAGCAGAAGATCATTTTCAAGCTCAAATCCCCCCTCCAAGCAATCAGAGTGTTGGTTTTTTATCAAGACAAGAATAAATGGTAGCATCATCATCAAAAAATGCAACATTAGATGTGAGAATTACTGGGAGATTGTTAATGTGATTTAAAAAAAGTATAGGGTGGGAAGAATTCAATAATCTTAAAGATGTTACCTGATACATCATACAATAAGAACTTATGAAGAAGACCAACATGCCAATGTTGGTCTTCTTCATAAGTTGGTTTCTTGCCAAACTTTATAAAATGGCTTTGATAAAGTTTGGCAAGAAACATAGCTTTAACCTCTCCACATTTATCTAATACACGATAAAACCTATCGGTTATTACTATTAGCAAATCAGCTGTAGAACGAGAAGATCAAAATCCATATTGATGATCATAAAGTTACTAGATTCAAGATGAGAGATTAAGTGTTTGTTAATTAAAGACCTTGCTTATGATAGAAAGAAGAATAATAGAACAACAGATAGACGAGTCAGATTGCTCTCCAGAATTTTTGAAAATAGGGATAACAGATGCCGCTTTCCAGTAGACTGGAAAAAAAAAATTAGGAGATAATAGAATGAGTTGCCTAGTCATATAAACAGAGATACAAGCAAAACCTATGCATTGTGGCAAAAAGATCCAGGTTTCAACATCCTAAACTGGAAACAGTGTATTATAAATACATCTACCCCAGCCTAAAAGATAAAGGGGTGCCAAGCTAGTCAACAGATAAAATCTGTGTACCCCTTAAGTCTTTGCCTATGAGGTTTTCTACAAGATAGTAGCTGGATGCATTTAACCTTTGCCCGAGAGGGTTTTTTTATCGAGACACCATCTCTAAAGATTCAGAGTATAAAACTTGTAAAGATATAGTCAGGACTTTTGAACCTGTAAAATATGGAACAGAATTAGTTTACTATTCTAGCTTTGTTTTAACTAAAAGCAAAACGAATCAATACATTTCCATCTTTAATTCAACAAAAAAATAAGTTACTCCTAATTTGGAGAGAATTTTAGTTTGTAAAAACTAAAACTGACTAATTAAAATCAGTTGGAAGTTAAAGTATTATATTATAATATTAAAATAAAACTATTATAAAATATTACAAATAATTCAGTCTAAACAGTAAAAAAAATTCTTTCTGTCTAATAAAATATTTTTGTTATTAATGGATCAAAATTATTTTGTCAGACAATGTCCAAGGTGTAGACTGTGTAAGGCTTCTTGTTAAGAAGCCTTACACAACTTGCATTTTAAATATGAAATACATACACGTTCAGCAGTTTTACATTAAGCAAAAACTTTTTTATTTTTTAAATAACTAAATTATCTTTGAATTTGTTTATGTGACGTTTATTCAGAAAATATCAACTCGTAAAAAAAGTATTTAACTGCAACTGTAATTATTTTAAATAATTTTTTTTTTTTTAAACATTGAATAACATATAATTTTAAAAATTTAAATTTAGTTTTGAAGGAATGTAAAATAGTAAAATGTAGACTAATTATTCATTAAATAAAACAAATCTCTTCATTGTAGGTTAAAATATGTGAAAGCAAATAAAAAAAATTTTTATTTAATTTTTTTTTTAAAAAAAAGAGAGAAGTATTTTGGTTTAAAAGAACTCTTTTCACAAATGCATTGAAATTTTTTTGTTTCTTATTAATTCAATATCATGTAAAGTTCTTTTGACGTAATTTATTTATAAAACAAATTTTGTTTACCAATATCTTATTGGTAACTAAAGTCTCTGTAAATTATTTACAATCAATTAAAAATATGACATTAAATACATAAAAAAAAATATATAATAACGTTGTGATAAAGAAACAAAATATTATGTTAAGTATATACTTTCAAATACAAAATTTAGTTGTCAACAGTAACTTTTATTATATTCGTTTAAATGATTTTTAAAATTAAGTTTAATAACAATGCTGTACTTTAATATATGTTAATGATACAATTTAACTTTCAACAATCTAAGTTGTTATAAAGTTACTTTTATTAGCATTTTCGTTAATAAAATCTTATAAAAAGGTAATTACCACTGAGAAAAAAATTTCCTAACTGTTCACTATGTCATTTTATTTTTATTTTATTTAATTAATGCAAAATTTAATAAAATTTACCTGAGCAATCAGGCCATGGCTTGTTTCCTTTTTGTATAGGGACAAAAAAAACAGGGTTTGATGAACTGATTTCATTTTGCCCTCTCCATTGTTCTTCCTCACCGCAAACATAAAAGTTGTAAAATTGAGGCAAATCATCTCCTTGTAAGAACCAATGATCAGCTTTGCAAGAAACTGTGCAGATGTATGTTTCAACTACATCATTTTTCATAATATTGCATTTTAACGCACCATTCTCTGGTGGATCATATAAAGGGCAAGCTTTCACTAAATATTTTTTAAAGTTCTGATATTTACAAATTTCAATATTTAGAAAAAAAATATTTTTGTTATCTTACTTGCTACTTACAGTCTACTTGTACAGTAAATGTGCAGTTGACAATGTTAAATGATTGGTCTCTTGCTAAATACGTAATAGTATGTTTTCCACGTGGGAAATAACTTCCACTTTGATGACTTGGAAAAACATTTACATGGAATTCATCAACATTATCGTGAAAAATTGGTTCATCCCAATAAACTTCATAAGGAATTTGTCCTGTCTGAAAAACTTTATCAGATGGACAGCTTACAATCTTTGGTGGTTCATTGTCTATAAATATAAACAAGTTATATAATGCATTAAAAAAAATTAATGTTCATATTTAAAATTATTATTATTTACACATTATATGTTCAAAATGATGCTCAAATATATAGAATATTATATTCTATATATTTGATGATCTCAAATATATAGAATAATTTTATATCAAAACTATATCAAATGTATAGTATAATACAAATATTATATATATATATATATATATATATATATATATATATATATATATATATATATATATATATATATATATATATATATATATATATATATATAACACTAGGTCAGCCCAAAGTCGACAGATTTCCTGTCGACTTTACATAAAAAAAAAAAGATAACATTGTAATGTCTAAATTATACTCAAGAGATTTCTATGAAAAATATTAACAAAAAAAAATGCGGAAAACTACAAACAATAACTTTTTTTAAAAGCGCGTATGTTTATTCCTGTTATATATACGATCTATAGGTCAATAGTTGAGAGATTGCATTTTTTGTTTGAAATATAATGATATATTTATTATAATTTTAGCTTAAAATATAGATAAACTATTTAGTTAAAATAATATACAACCAGTTTAAAAAAAAATTAACATTTAGACATTATATAATATGTTATTTTTTAACTACAAGTAGACTTATTCTACTCATAAATTTTGCGTCAAGTCAACAATAATAAATATATAGAATTATATTTTTATATTTCTATGTTTTTATAAATTTTTTTAATATAGATATATGTAAAAATGATATATAAACTTTAAAATATGCGTATAAAATTTATTTAATACTATTTCTACGATGTCAAGTTGAAATATAAGTGCATGTGTTAAAATCGCTAAATCAAAAAATTTTCTATTTCTTTTTAAAAAACCGCTTAATTGATCACTTAAATTTTTTTTCTATACAAATACTTAATCTAGGCAACATCTGTTAGTAAAAAATGAATTAAAAAAGAAAATTTTTTTATTTTGACTTATGGTGTAAAAAATAATTGCTCTCGAGTATATATATATATATATATATATATATATATATATATATATATATATATATATATATATATATATATATATATATATATATATATATATATATATATATATATATATATATATATATATATATGTATATATATATATATATATATATATATATATATATATATATATATATATATATATATATATATGTATATATATATATATGTATATATGTATAGATATATATATATATATATATATATATATATATATATATATATATATATATATATATATATATATATATACATATATACATATATATATATATTAATTTTATAAATTTCATATTAATAACTTGTAATATGGTGCGTTCCAGAAAAAGAATATGGTCTTTTAATTTAATATGCAATACAGTTTAATTTTGTGTATATTAAATATGCTTTCTTTTTAGAGTTAATAATTAGATTTAAATATGATTTTTAAGAGTTGTGTCACTGGATACAGATGTAGCTACGATGTTACAAAAGCTGTCAAAGTATTTTCGCCTTCCAAACAAAAAAAATGTGGATGAACAAAAAAGATAGATAAGTCCTATAACTCAAGATAATATTCCAGATAGCCTAAATACTTTTATTTGTGAATATCATTGGCCTAAAGACTATAATTTACAGAAAGTTAAAACCAGCACATCCATTATCTATATTTTCTTGTGTAAATCCAAGTCAAATTCCCACTCAACTGGCACTACTAAGACAAACTACTAAATCATTGCCATCTTTAAGAAGTACTGTGCCTGATGAAATAGAGGCTTTTGTGAAAGCTGATAATATTTCTTCTTACGAAGATTTGTGTTATAAAATAATGTCTAAAACTATATCTTTTTCCTTCTCAATAATATCAAATATCTATAAAAACTGTTTACATCTTCAATCTGCTGATATATTGGACAACTTCAGTGTTCTAAAGTTTATTTTGAAGATAAAAAATTATTTATTCTTTGATATAACTGTGGTGTTAAGTGCGCCATAAAACCTTTTTCTTACAATTATATGAATATTATCGACTGTATTAGTCGCCTCCATGCTGCAATACACTATCTGAATTCTTTACTAATCAATCACAAGAAAAGTATTATTATTGAACAGATGTTTAGTATAATCTCCTTAATGTTTATTACTGACAAAAAGTATCCTCCTTGGGCATTTGAGTACTGTTCATTGACATGAACTCTTTACTATTGATTATGCGATGACTAAGAACTACCAAGTATATCTTTGATGACAAAGTTGACATGTTAGAGATAATGATTTAAAGTTGTATTTTGACAAATGTTCTATTAATGAAAGGCAGGTTATTCTACTAATTGATGAAATTTATATCAAACCACACTTAACATATCAAGGAGGTAACATTTTTGATAAATCTGTAAAATCCCCAAATGAATTAGCAAAAACAGTTTTGGGTTTAATGATTTGTTCTTTATATGGTGGAAAACAATTTTTATATAAAACATTACCAGTAACAGGTTTAGATGCTAATTTTCAATACAATCAAACAATACAAACAATTGAAACGATAAAAAATTGTGGTGGTTTCGTTATTTCTATTCTTTGCGACAATAACAAAATAAATAAAAAGTGTTTTGGAATGTTTAATCTTCGTAATACTTGGTGCATTAATGATGACATTTTTTTTCTATATGACTTTGTTAATTTAATAAAATCTATATCTATTCATAGCAATTGGCTCACAGAAAAATACCAAAAACTATGTTTTACTTACAAAGATTTTTAAAGAACTGCAAATTGGTCAGATCTTAAAAAAGTTTTTCAATTTGAAAAAGATGCTATTTCAAAATTGTCTGAACTTAATGAAACTGCAATTTTTTCCTAAACCAATTGAACATCAAAATGTGTGAACTTGTTTAAGAGTATTTTGTGATGAGACTGTAGCTGCTTTAAAAACTCATCCATTCATAAAAAATGTCAGATACCACAGTGTTTTTATCTATTTTTATCAAAATTTTTAAAATTGTTAATGTTAAAGAGCTTTATGAAGATATTTGCACTAGAGATATATATGGTGCTGTTTTTTTATCAAACAATGATAAGTAATTGAAATTTGTTTTAAATTTGGCTGATATGGTTGAAAAAATTGCTCTTGAAAAACAAGGTCATAGACTAAAAAATTTAACCAAAGATACTTCTTGTGCTTTTTTTCATACATTTCCTGGGATGGTTGAATTAGTAAAACATTTACTTACTACAAGTCATAAGTATGTTTGCCTCGGACATTTTACTTTTAATCCTATTAAGAAAACATTTGGAAAACTTTGGTAAGGATTATGTAGTACTTATTTTATAAATGTTCAGCAAATATTGTAAAAAGTTGACATTAAAAAAACAATACTTTGTCTGAATATTGGTATCACTGCTAATGATTTAGAAGTATCATCAAGCCGTTTGTGTGACAAATGTAATAATGTATTGCAAGATGATATTTTGCTCAATGTGTTTCATAATCTTTCAGTTGTCTTTGGTTTACATTGCTGGCTATGTCAATAGAGAAGATCCTTCGGTTAAAGATACATCATTTTGTCTTGACCAGTTTGGAATTTATGCCAAAGAGATTAATCATGGCGGTTTAAGTTTGTCTGGAGCATAACACTTGACAAACACAAGTTTTGTCAAATTGACTCTAAAAAACTGTACGAGTTGACGTATGGTTCAACATAACCAGGGTATGGTTATCACAGTTCAACTAAAAAATATGCTGAATTTAGCTTTCAAATAGAAGAAAAACTTATGTCGCATAAATTAAAATTAAAGTAAGTCACACATAAATTATGCATGACATACTTTATTATGAACATAACTTCTTTATTTAACAATATGCAAACTCTATTGTTTAAACATATTTTGACTTCAGCAAAAATATTTTCTATAAAATCAATTTATAATTTTCACCCTCACAAGTTCCTCAGACGAGCGCAATTTTTTACTTTTGCAACAAAACTAGCGAACGCTATTTATCACTCCCAGAAGACCATTTAAGGGCATGTTGTGCGCAGAGCGATTGCTCCCACTCCATCACAAGGCCTATATATATATATATATATATATATATATATATATATATATATATATATATATATATATATATATATATATATATATATATATATATATATATATATATATATATATATATATATATATATATATATATATATATGTTTTGTTTTAAGTTCAGTTTTTATTAATAAAGTAAATCTTTTTGAGAGAAAAAAGTTTATTGAGTTAAAATAAAATTACTAATGATTTTTTTAGTTTTTGCTGTTTATAAAATAGGCCCTAAGCCAGATACACCATTTGCGCATTGGCAAGGCCTGTAGTATAGATCGCAGTGATCATTTGTGATATAATATATGATGTCATGCATTATCATATATGATGTCATATATTATCATTTATGATATCATGTGTAACTTTTTAAAAGAAAAGGAAATAATGGTGCAAAAGAAAAAAAATAGGAACACTGATAAGTAATAAAAAAATAGTAAAACTGCACTAAATGGATCAACTAAAAAAAACATCTTAACATATTTAAAAAAAACAACAACCTTTGACTGAAAGCTTGACTTCACAAGATCTCTGGTTTCCTGATGAATCTGTTGCAGTATATTTTACGAGAACATCATTCTTGACAAAAACCTTTAGTGGTGAAGATTTATCCACTGTTATTTTAGGTGCAAGACCAATGTTATCAGTAGCTGTTGCTTCAGGTAAATCAATTATACTATAATTTGTGTTTGGTAAATTAAAAAATTCAGACTTCAAAACTGGACAAATAATCGTTGGTGGCTCTATATCTAAAAAGTTCATAAAATATATAACAAATAATTTAAACTCCCAATCACTCTCTAAAAAAAATTCTCCAACTATTTTAGTCACAAACCCTTGCATGTTCCAAGCACACCATTCCAACTTCCATTTCCTTGGCATGTTAAATAACTACTTCCAGACAGTTTAAAACCTTTATTGCAGGATATTTTGCATATAGATTGGCATTTACTATTAACCCCATTGCAAGCAAGATTATCATGTTTTCCATACAAAGGAGCTGGAAGCGAAGGACATGTGATCTCTAAATTAAAAAAATACATAAGATAATATTTAAAAAGTTATAAAAAATTAGAATTCCTGAAAAAGATCTCATATAAAATCTTGAACAAATTTTGTAAAAATCTAAATTGATCTCAAGATTTTTGATAACTCTAAAAAACTGTTTCATTACCTTTATCTCTTAAATGACCAACAGGATCTGGACATATTTTAGGCCCTACACCATCACAATTAACAAACGCTTCTTTATATTTTACAACTTCTCTATACTGTTTTAGTCTTCGTTCAGTTGGGCAGTTGCCATTCCAAGTATGTAGTTCCCAACTAGTCCACTCCCCTTCAATACATTCTTTGAATGGACAGTTACCTGAAACACAATATAACTTAAAATTTGTTTACAAAACCTTAATGATATCATTAAGGTATTTCATTTCATTGAATTTTTTGAATTTTTAATCCAAACGACAACAAAGAATTATGCATAATCACGTTTTGTGGGTAAATTTCATTTGAAATTTATTTTCAAAATGTGCCCATAAAATATGATTTTTACAAAACTTGTTTTTATTATTTTTATCCATAATAGCAAAAACAAAATTTTGATTTTTTTTTATATCTGATTTTTGTTCAAATTTAAATAAAAAAATTTTCATAGATTTTTTTATCAAAAATATTTGTCTACTAAGGTATGATGGATGTCATAACTTGTGTCTTCTCTAACTTAATGGTTTTCAGAAAATCAAAAAAGAATTTAAATTCTTTTTTTTAATTACTAAAAGCAATATTAGATGGAAATATTTACTTGCTGTAAATACGAAGTGTTCTATAATAAATTCTAATTTGTGATTTAATTTTTGGATTTACATTTAGAAAAAAATATTTAAATATTACTTTAACATATTGCAAAAAACTTCATTGCCTAAAATAAATAGCAAAGCAATATGAATCAAAAAATAGACATTTTACCAGCAAACGCTTCTAAATCTGATTTACTAAAGCTTGCCTATTAAATCCTGAAAAAAACAAAGTAAGAGGAATTTCTTAAGTTATTCTATCAAAAATGAATAGTGATTTTAGAAAAAAGATTGCATCAATCAATAGCTAAACTCACAGAACGTTAGAGATTGGTTTCAAAGTATTAAAGAAAAACATCTATACAAATTCTTGATTTTGGATATAACTGATTTTTATTCTTCAATTAAAGAAATTTACTCAACAATGCTATAACCTTTGCTAAAAAATACTTAGTTATAAAAAAATAGAAAAAAAGTTAATAAATCACGCCAGGAAATCATTATTATTTTAACCAACTTCTTTGCGCGTCGAATTCCTTTAATTTCACAATTTAAGCTTTTCTTAGGTGTATTTTTTTTATGAAATGCTTTAATTCCAGCATTTTTAAGTACTTTTTTGATATAAAAACGAGAAGTCTTAAATTTTCTTGCTAGATCTCGCTGTGACTGATTTGGATTTCTTGCTATTGAACGTAAAATCGACTTTACATTTTTGGATTTATGAAAAGTTTTTTTTCTTCCACTTCCAAGTTTTCTTTTGAAGCTTTGAGTAGTCTTGAACTTGTTCATAATATCTATGACTGTAGATTTTGGGACATTTGTGCGTTTAGCAATCAAGCGATAGGAAGTCGATGGATTTTTGCAAGAAAAATTCACAACTTTTTTACGCACATCAACTTGTTTCCAAAACATTTTGCAAATCATTAATTTGTAAACAAAAATTTATCAACACCATTTAAGATAAGGAAGTGAGGTTTAATTAAAAAAAAAAATTAAATAAAAAGCATTTGTGGTTTTGGAGAAATCTCAATTTAAAGATGACCGGATTTTTCCGTGTCCATCCGATAAATGCAAACTCTAGCCATTCTCTTAGCATACTAAAAGGTCTTCCTCAAACTATCGAACTATGATTGTCAACCAACTCTTCTAACAAAAATTTATTTTTAAACAATCCATTTTCAAATCGTTCTTAAACACTCCTTATCAAGATGCAATATTTAAATCAGGTTTTATCTGCAAATTTGCTTACCATTCGAAAAAAAAAACCGGTCCCATTCAAAAATCACAAGCAAAACATAATCTGCTACAACCAACCTTTCAGTACCAATGATGCAACAAAAATTGAAATACTATTACTAATACTAATACTTATATTAAAATAAGCTACTAATGTATGCCAAACATCAAGTCCAACATTAATTTGCACAATCACAAGATATTATGTAGCAAGGTTTAACTTGGCTATATAATATCCTGTTGCATGTTTTTCCCTCATCTTTAGATGAAGGAAAAACATGCAATGGTGTCAACAAATCTACCTGTCCGATGAACAACCTTTGTTTGTTTTGTTTGTTCCTTGTTGGGAGTGAAATATAATAAAAAAAAATAAGATTATTAGATCAATGAGTGGTGGTGAGTCTAAAATTTAAGAAAAGAAGCAATAAACTTAAAAAAAAAATGGAAATAGTGAGTTTATTTGAAAGAGTTCATCAGAAAAAATTATGGTGGTTTGGTCATGAAAAACATAAAGATGCAATTGATTATGTATCAACATGAAGAGAAGTTTAAGGATATAAAGATAGAAGAATAAGTAGAAAAGCTTGAAGATTTTTTTTATCGTTGCAGATAAAAAAAAGACTTCATTTTGAAAAAAAAGGTGCTCAAGATTGTGTATATTGAAAAACAGCATAACAAGAAATGTCTATTTATTTTATCAAAATAACAATGCAATACGAAGAAAAATACTTTTGCTTTTGTGCTATGCACTTAATAAGTTTGAGAAAAAAGTTTTTTTCATCTAGCAGATGCATTTTGCTATGAGTGTAGATAATTTAAAACAAGATTGAAAGTATATTTGATGGCAGCATGTCATAAAATGTGTGAAAACAAACATACTTCAGCATGTCTGTTATGAGGACAATTTCTAACATTGCCTTTTGCTATCCAGCAAATTTGGCAGCAAACAATAAACCACTCATATGTTTGGTAATTCTGCATCCCACAAAAAATCGCTCAGGCATAAATAAACCTTAATTAATTTAAAAATACATTCCTTCACCAATTATCCCAATACCATACATCCCCAGCTGCATGTTCTTATGCTATAAAAGATCAGCTTAACAGAAAACAACAGAAAACAACAGATTAAAGTTACAAATTACAGATTTACAGGTGAGGTTAAGGAGATGAAGCTAACTGCTAACTTAGCTAATAAGACACACTCTGGGCAAAGAGGACTACACCAGTATCAAGGTGTTGATGATTGCCTTGAAGTATGATAACTATGGATGGAGCTCATTGATGACTTAAAAATGATGTCATTCCTCATATGCCTTCAAGCAGTTTCACAAAATTTCCTTGTGTCCTTTGCCTCTGGTACAGCTGTGACATTTAAGAGCAGTACCACCTAAATGACAGGTAGTTAATAGATTGAGTTTTTAGTGGGCAGGAACAATATGAACTTTTTTACACATGCATTTTTTTATCAAATGAAATTGTTTCATCAAATGATGTTTTATCCAATATTGTTTGTCTACAACTTTTTCTATTCCAAAAAATTTATTTTTAAAAACACTCTTACATTGCTGTACATACATTTGCATCCTTGATACTCTAGCATATCTCTCTGGCATTATGGTACTTAAGAACTCATGGAAAACAAGTAGCTGAAAATCTCAGTTAAAAAACAATTCAAGTTCCTTAACCTTGTATTCAATTAAATCAGTCCATGGCAAAATTGGATCAGTCAAACTTATAAAACTTAAGTGAAGTAATCTTACAGCCTCCTGAGGGGTAAAATTTATTTGTTTTACACTAAAAAGAATAGATGGTTATGCAAGTTTTAATTTAAAAAAATTTTGTTGAGCATTTGCACAATTTTTTGATTTGTATATTTAGCATAGCATAAAACATCTACAAAAATATTGGATAATTAGCATTGCATAAATCACACAAGTGAGGATTCACACCACATAAGTGAGGATTCACATCACACAAGTGAGGATTCACATCACACAAGTGAGGATTCACATCATACAAGTGAGGATTCACATCACACAAGTAAGTAACCATAAATGTTAAACTTCAAAAACAAATTAAAAAAAGTTAAATGAACCAAACTTTATATTAAGTTTTTTCGAGTTACAGCTCTATGTCTTTATATGTTCTTATATGTTTTTTTAGCTCTATGATATTATATGTTTTTTACTTTTAATACATTTTAATAATTTTTATTTGTTACTTCATTTTTTAATTGATGATGAGAATAAACTTTTTTATTTACAATTTTTGACAATTCTATGGTTTCTAGATTTGCACTTTAATTACTTATTTGCATTTCTACAACTTTTATCAATTTTTTTTTTAATTTTTTTTTTTTTATTATTATTATTTTGTGAATTCACTTCCTCAAGGCCGAGAAGGCCACTACAGATGAAGAGGCTGCTTAATTATGGTTATAACCCTTCTCAACTCTATAACTCCGAAACACGAACCTTGAGAAACAAGGCCAACGAGCGCGGTACTACCAGGGACATGGTGGGGATTGAACTTGGAACCTCTCGCTTATGAAGCGAGCGCTCTACCACTATACCACTACCGCGTAATTTAACCTCAATGATTTTTTATGTAAATATATTTTTGAATACCTTTAAAAACAACCGTAAAAATTTAAGTATTTTTCAAAGATAGTTTAATTAAAAATTTGTAAAAATCTAAATTTTTACTAAAACCTCCTAATACCTGCTAAATTGATCACCAAATGAAAAACTCTAAGTTTAAGTTACATTAAAAGTCTAAAGTTCCTACCAAATACTGATTAGTGCCATTTAATATGATTAAGTTACTTAAGTAACTTACAAGGACAAGGGCTTATTAGCAACTTATTAGGATTTATTAAAAAAACGTAAGTTAAGTCATTTTTTTCTTCTCAGGTGAGTTCCCAAATCATAAATAAAATATAAAGAATCACAGTGCAAAAAAAATCTTTGTGAGAAAGATTTATTAGATTAAGCAACTTGTGATAAATAGATACTGTTTTCTGATATAAGCAATAAAAAAATCATCATTCAGAGTTAAATAAGTCAAATAAAAAAATTTAAACTTTAAATATTATATATTATAAAATATTTTTAAATATAATACATTATTAAGAGTAAATAAATTTTAAAAACAACAAAATAATTAATTTAAATAACATATGCAAATGTAACACAAAATAACTACATATATATTGGTTTTGTAATTCTTCAATTCCTTTGAATATACAGAGCCACCCACAATTTTTTAGTTACCGTAGTAAAAACAAATTTTATTGTTAATTATATTTAGATGACCATAAAATTTGTTGCTGCACTTGCATTTTTTCTGTTAACATTAATTGTTAATTATAAGTTTTTTCTGTAAATAATATTTGTTAATAGTTATATTTTTACTATTTTATACTTTATATTATTAATTGTTGACAAATAAACATCAAAGGTTAAAGAAACTTGTTAGTAGAAATTAATTAGAAATTAATGGAGTTAGTAGAAGTGATAGTTTGATAGAAATTAATAGAGTAAATAGAAGTGGGTAATTCTCATGTTATGTATGTGTTCTCATGTTACAAATATTTTTAAATAAAAAAGGGCAATAAAAAATTGTTTACAACAGATATGCAAGATATATACTGCAAATATTATAGTAGGAGATGTGCCTGATATAAAATAATATTTCTCTTAAAAATATGTTTCTTGCACAAACTATTAAAAGAACTGATTAGTTGCATTACGTGAGCAACGCATACAAAGCTATAAATTTAAATTTAAAATTTTGATTGAATATTTCTGCTAATTGGCTTTAATTAGTTTAAAGATTCTTTTTTGTTACAGGCGACATGTTGATGTTTATAAAAAATACTTTTATTTTTCAAAATTTCAATAACTTCATAAAAATAAATGATAATCTTTACTGATACATGTGTGACAAATTTTGTTACATGTGTGTGACACTTTACAAACTTTTAATAATTTAATAAATCTAAAACAATTTTTTTTTTTTCATTTTTTTAACATAACTGAAATAAAGATTAAACTGAGTAGCACTTTTGTTTTATAGTTTTTTTTAAAGTTTTGTTATATAGTTTTTTTAAAACTTTTTAAATTTTATTTTATCAGGGTACATAGTTTCATTGTTCTACACAAGGCACCAATCATTAAAAGCCATTTCTGGAGATTTAGAAAATATTTCAGGAACTTGTAGGTCATTATTATAACTTATTTGAAAATCAGATGACTTTGAGTCACTTGTTTTGAAAAATGACTTGCATTCATTGAAAGAATTATCATGATAAATTTTTAGTATTCCTTGTGTTTTTTTGACTTCTAACCGAGTTTTTTGCTGGCTATTTTACTAATGATTTCATTATTGCTAATATAGAGAATATTATTAGCTGTCATTAATGGTTTGAAAGCATTAAAAAAAACCATAGACATTTATACACACACTTCCTCATTCTTGCTCATGCATTTCATTCGAACAAGAAACTTAACTTTTCTTCCAACACCATCTTTTTCTATGTGAAGTTGCAAAAAATTTCTACTCAAATGTTTTATTTTATTGCAATGATAGTTGATTGAGTAATTTCATCAATAAACTTATTTTTAAATTTTGGTAAAAACTGTAATAATGATACTGAAACTCTTTTCACCAATGGGCCATGGGTGAAAAGAGTTTCAGCATCATTATTACGGTTTTCAGACATTAGTATCTCATTTCAAAATTACCCAATAAACCAGTAAACACTATCTTTTCCCTTGTTTCTAGTGTCTGAACAGATAAAATATATTTTGCAATTATTGTTGTTAAAAACAATACCATTAAACAATTTAACAGTGTTCCTACTCCACAGTGCACTTTGTAGTTCATTCGGATATTCGCAAATATATACCATTGCAAAATCCACCTGAAGAACACTTTCTCCTGCAATCTTCTTGTCTTTTTCAAATTCAGTTGCTTGAACTCTTTTTACATTCTTGAAATTTAGATAAAGTAAATAGTAATTTCTCTATTACTTCTCTTATGCACCCATTTTTATCATAAACTTATTTTTGGATTGATATTTTATATGAACGTGTTCCTGAAACTTAGATAAAGTAAATAGTAATTCCTCTATTTTGACAATGTTTTGCCTCTCTCAAAACATTGTCCAAATATAATTTCTCAGCTTTTTTCACCTTCCATTCAATTTTTTTTTCTTTATATGAATCTTTTTCTGTACTGTTTATTTTTGCAACTTTTATTTTGTACATATTCTTAATCCTTTTAATTTTATTGAACAGTGTTCTTTGTCAGCTTTTCGTTTTCCTCAAAAGTTTTTTAATCTCTCAGCTCAAGATATTTTTATTTTTATTACATATTAACCTTAACTTAAAACAGGAAACTAATAAAATTTACAGATCTTCGAATCAATAATTTATTGAATTATTTAATTTATCTTTTTAAACTAATTCAAACTGATATAACTTTCAAATACTACAATGGTTGTTTTCTTGTTGAATTTATCAAAAAAATTGAGAATAATTTTTAAAAAAGTAATATACATCAATATTATATTCATGTTAAAAACATTTATACTCGAAAAAAAAAATTATATTTAGTATTTATGATTTAGTCCCAATCCTTATTAATAATTTATTTTCTGATTTTTTAAATTTAATGATTTTATCTTTATAATGTCACACATGTATCATTAAATATAAAACTTCGTTACGTGTGTGACCAAACTTTTTATAATTTTTTTTTAGTTATTTTACCACATTTTCATAAAAAAAAATTTTTCATTTTGTTTCTTCAATACTTTTTGTTTTTAATCTAAAATATTTTCAAAAAAAGCATTCTTCTTTGCTCACAAATAAAACTTTTGATTGTTTTTTATTACGTGTGTGACATGACAAAAAGGGTATTTACAAAAATATAATATATATGTATAAATATTTTTTCAAAGCTAGATTCTTTTTGTTAAAATTATATTAAAATAGTTATAAAAATGCTTTTATGTAATTATAACAATATTAAATATTTATTTATTATGATAAATGGAAAATAATATACTGATATTAAAAATTAAAAATTTTCAAATTTTAGTAACTGAAGAAATTAATATCAATATTTTTCCATACACTATACAAAAATTTCTAAATGTATTTTAAAATGTAAATTTAGCTAGTTTATTATAAAATATACAAAAAAAATTGTTAAAAAAAAAGTGTGTTTGAAAAATTAGCTCTTTGGTTTCACTAATTTGAGAATCGCCCAAGTGATAGTTTGATAAAAATTAATGGAGTTGATAGAAGTGATAGTTTGATGGAAATTAATGGAGTTAATAGAAGTAATAGTTTGATAGAAATTAATGAAGTTAATAGAAGTGATAGTTTAATAGAATTTAACGGAGTTAATAGAAGTGATAGCTTGATAGAAATTAATGGAGTTAATAAAATAGTTTTTGACTTACACAATACTCTTAGGTCATCCAGACTTCTATTAGGACATGTATCAGTTATACCATCGCAGTTGTTTTCTTGACCTTCATAGATATATGTTGCAACTAAATCACGTTTTCTTGTTTGCGTAGAACATGTGTTAGGATTCGGAAAAGAACTCCATAGTGTCCATTCAGATGTTTGACATGAGTTAATCTTTTTACAACTGCCTTTAAAAATTAAACAATAAAATAAAAAAATCTTTTTTCAATCAACATACAAGTTTCTTTTTTATTTCTGTTGCCATGCTTCAAAATTAACTCTTGATCAAACAATAGTATAAAAAAAACTCTTACACCATGTTCTGCTTTCAGAGTCTTGATCATTTTTGCAGTTAACAACTGCATTATGGCAGTTTGGTTTTTCTATGTACTTAAATACTTTCTGAGCACTTCTGTACCGACGCTGATGTCCGCAAGAACCTTGATTTATATTTCCAGACCATTCACTCCAGGTACTCCACCAGCAACTATCTACCTCTTGACATAAACCTAAAATTGATTGCCAATTAATTTTAGTAATGATAATATGTATAATCAAATAATAATGAAGTTGAACCATTTAAACCACTTAAACAATGCTGATCAAATAATACAGAAATACCAACAAACAACATACTTCCTTTACATCTATTTATTTCAATTTTTGTTTTTTAATAATATTTAATTATTATACAAAGTTAAAATTAAATTGAATTTAAAATTTACTAAATAATTTTTTTTTGGTCATTTTTTAGTGTACAAAATAAGATAAAAACAGCAACAAAAAACTTTTTTTGACAAGAAATAAAAAAAAATAATGAAGCATGTAAAAAATTTTCTTATAAAACAAAATATTGAATGATATGATATATTATATGATATAATATACCACTTTGTGACTAACATTTTCATTTACTGTGTTAGTTTTTTTAATTATTATTTAGAGGCATACAACTTCTTTTTTATCATCTTTATTTACCTATTCTCTTTCTCAGTACAGCATTGACTACTTATTTGGCATTTTATAAGTCTGGTATATATGAAACTTTAGAAATAAGCGTTGCTGACACAACACTTATTTCTAAAGTTGTACAACCAACACCAAATCATATTTTTCTTGTAAAAAAAAAAATATTTTTATATATAAAAATTTACAAGAAGGATATCAACTTTAATAAAAATTATAACAAATGTAAAAACAACAGTTATGATGAAAAGATGATAACGGGTTATGCATAAGTCTTCAAACTTTTTTTGAAACTGATTTAAATAAGGAGAGTAATTTTTCAACCTTCAACTTATTTTTTATTTTGAAGATCAAACATTAATGTATTTAAATCACTTTTAATTTTTATCTAGACTTCTATACAAAAAAAGTGACAAGGTTTGATCAAGAAGCCCATGCAAAACAAATTGTAACATTCTATGAAAATCGTTCAAGTGATAAAAAGAAATTAACATATAAACATTTTAAAATGAAGGAATGCCAAAGTCAACTATATTTAGTATTCTTACAAGGTATGAGAAGTATGGTGTGTATAATGATTTGGTTAGATCAGGTTGTCCTCCAAAAATGGATAAGAAAAAAGTCAAACGATTGACTAAAATGCTAAATAATTCAACTGGTATTAGTCAAAAGTATTTAGCTTAATATTTTAAGGTGAACCAAAGCACAATTTCAAGAACTATTAATTTCAAAACAGATATTAAATGCTACAAAAAACAAAAAGCACCTTTGTTTGAAAAAGATCAACAACAGAGAGCAGCAACATCATCGAGAAGATTAGTTAATAAAGTATTTCATGAAAAAGATATAATCATGGATGACGAAAAATATTTTAACCTATTAAACTCAAATATACCTGGAAATGATATATATTATACAAATAATAAATTGTTAGCCCCTGATAATGTAAAATATAAGTTGAAAAAAAATTCGAAGAAAAGGTATTGGTTTGAATTTACATTTTTTCAAATAGATTTTGTGAACCTTATATACATAGATCAAAGAATTCAATAACATCCAATATATATGTGAAAGAATGTATGAAGAAAAGACTTATACCATTTGTTAGAGAACATCATAAAGATAATAATTTTGTGTTTTGGCCAGATCTTGCAACTGCTCATTATGTTAATAAAACAGAAAATTGGTTTATTGATAATTCCATAGAATTTGTACAAAAATGCACTAATCCACCAAATGTTCTACAGGCTAGACCAATTGAAACATTTTGGGCTACTTTAAGTCAGATGGTATACAGTGATGGTTGGAGAGCACGTAGCATATATCAAATAGAGCAAATTAAATGAAATAAAAGAAAATGATCCATATCTGTTACAAAGACTAATGATGAGTGTTAAAACAAAACTTAGAAAAATTGCTGATAGAGGCATCTATTCAATATGTTAAATACATTAATAAATACTAGAATGTTCTTTATTACCATATAGTTTCATTTTTTTATCTAACTAACAATATTTTTTTACGACTCTATAAAAAAAATTTGAAGACTTATGCATAACCCGTTAGAAATGAAAAAAAAATATGTGGGTCAGAGCCCCCGACCCCCACCCCTTTAAAAAAAACCTGCCATAAGGACCTCAAAATCTTAAAATTTTTTCCCTAAGAATTATTAAAAAAAAAAAGGTGTGGGGGGCCTAGCCATTGCTCTGCTAACAATATAAAATAATGATAATAGATTTAATTAATATTCTCCTGACATATACTTGCATTAGAAATTTACTTTTATATTTTTTTGAGAAGAACAAAATCACTAAAAGAAGGGTTTTTAGTCAATTTTTTTTTTTTTTTAATAAATGGTATTAATTAGTTAAATTGAAAAATTTATTGATGTTATATGGAACACTTTGACTGCATTAAAAAAAGATAAATACAAATTATCATTTTCTGTAGTTTGGGCAATATTTATGCATATGTGCTTGATTTAATAAAGAAATTAGGTAGATTATTTTGGAAAAAATCAAACAATTTTTAGAATTTACAAGATTTTGGAATTTTATACTTTCAAAAATCTTTTTTTTTTTAATATTGAAGATAAAAAAATGTCATAATTCTTATGAATAGATTCTGTTAACTATTAATATAGGAAACATAATTTATTTCGTTTTATTAGTATTTAAAAAATAAGGCTACTATTCAGGCACAAATGATGTCAGCCACAAATGACACAAATGATGGAAATCTGAGTTAATTTTTTTCCAAAGCTGTGAGAATGATTGTTTATGCATAGAAGATCGGTACAAAATAAAAGCTAATAAATAAATCTGTTTGTAGAGTGAAATAAATTGTATATATGTATATAAAAAATAGTAAAGCTTAAAACGAAAACTTTTTGGAATACCATTTTCATTAACTTTTTTGTGCATTTAAACTCTTTTATTAAAAGAGAACAATTTTGAATATACATTAAAAACCAATCATTAATGATATTCTTAGCAATTTATCTTTTTAATTTGGGGCTTATGGTCAATCATATTAAAACTTTTTTGGAAAGCAAGAGATGGCAAAAGTAAAATAACTGGTAAAGCTTTAGTTAAGTAGTTTAAAATAATTTTATTTTTTCGCTTCTTGCGGTAAACATAAGGGTTTTTCATTGGAATAACAAAGAAAAAGATTGCTGCCCCATGATAAACCCTCAGTTGCTGTAGCAGCACACTCCCATATAGCACCAGGCTATAAAATAGTTGTATGTAATAAGGCCAATTAATATTCCTTAAGTTTTAAAAAGCCTTCACTAACGAGAGTGCAACAAGCAAAAAAATAAAAATATTTTAGGCTGCTCAACTTTTTTTTAATGAAATTTAAACCGGTATATAAACACTCAGAATCGAAGTGAAATAGCTAGATGTAAGAATGCATTAATTTATCAAGAATTTTGCTAATACTTGATAATAATGATATAATATGTCTGTAGTTATTGCAGACAAGTTTTAAGTTAATTTTATGAATTGGTACAACAGATGCAGTTTTTAAATATTACGGGATATACAGGCAACAAAAAAGAAACTAAATACTTCAGAAGTTTAAAGGTGAATTTCTAAAGGTGAGTTTCCACTCATCCGTTTTTCTACGGGAAAGGGAAAGGGAACGGAAAAATAATTACGTGAGTATGAAACAGTTTTTTTGCCTCATGCAAACAAACTTTCAGGATTTAAAGTTCTAATACTTAATGGCCGTGCTTCACATATGAGCTTAGAGTTAAAAAAAAAAGGTTTAGAAAATTATATTTTACTTTGGCGTTTGCCGGTTTATACCAACCATTTTTTACAGCCACTAGATGTTGGCGTTTTTAAAACAGTAAAAGGCGCATGGAAGAGAATTGTCGAAAGTTATTTGGCTAAAAATCACTTTCAAAGCCTGACTAATTGACATTTTCCGGCCATGTTTAAGGATCTCATCCAAAATGGTGGGTTTAAACCTGAAAATGCACGGAGAGGTTTCAAAAATACTGGTATATTTCCATTCGACCGTTCGCAAATTTCTTCTAAAAAAACTTCCATTGGTGCTGTGTTTCAAGCTGTCGAAAAATACAATAATGAAAATTTATTTGATTCTTAAACAGTATCTAGTCCATTAGTTATGGGAAATGCTACCAATACACCTTCAAAAAAATTCATGATTTGACATTGAATGTCAAATCATGAATTTTTGCTTAAAAGCATTATTCAAAGTAGCTTTGCTACTTTGAATAATGCTGTTCAACAAGTGGGCAAAGATATAAACAAATCAGTGTTAAATATGCTTCGAGATCAATTGACACCAACTTTAAATAAAAGAGTTCAAAAAAATGAGAGAATAAAGCGACCAGCTAATTATAATATGACTTCGGCGGATGCCATAGCTTACGATGAAGCTGAACAAGCATCAAAAAAATAAAAATTAGATGAACAAGCTGCAAAGAAATTTAATAGAGAACAAAAAAAGAAGAAAAAAAAAAAGTTGAGACAAAGTCAGTTGTCTAAAATACCAGGTAAAAAAGGTATAAAGACAAAGATGACCCTCATTTTTCTCAAGCTTCAAATAAAATTTTAGTATCTGATAATGTCCTATGTTATTCTCGCGAAATTAATTGGACAAATAACTTAGATAACCAATGGCTTGCGTGTGAGCAGTGTTCAAATTGGTCATGCATTGAATGTTTCTATAATTATCGTCCAACCATGTAATTGATTTGTAACAAATGTGTATAAAATAATATATATTCTTTTTTTATTAAACGATTTCATTTTTTTAATGGATTAAAATAATTATTTTAATGTTAGTATTATTTGTGTATGTGTTTTTCTGTGTTTTATACGCATCCGGAATTAGGGACATAAACACCTAATTCCGGATAAAAACAATATTTTTTAAAAATAAAATAAAAGATAGATTTATATTGCAAAAATAATATTTTTTTATATCGTTTGATTTGTCTTGTTATGAAGTTTATTTATTTAAAAAAATTATTTCGAAATTCTTTATATTGAGCTAGTTATGACAATTTAAGTCCTAAACCATCCGGAATTAGGGGTTTTTACGGTAAGTATAAATATATAAATGTTTGGAGTTTGCTCCATGTCTGGAAGTTACTCAGTGGGCGTGGACGTGAAAAAGACGTCTTTAAAACGTCTTGTACACGTTTTGGACGTCTTTTGAACGTTCAAAAATTTTTTAAAAAAATCTTTTTTAGGTCCAGTGCCCACTGGGTAGCTATCTCAAAGATAAAAAAATGCTGTATCCGCCAGGAACCATGAAAAACTTTTTATCATAAAGAGAGAGAATAAGAGATTTTATTTTTGAGAAGAGTATTTTATTTTCGTCAATAGGTTTTATAAATATTGAATAACGGTGGCGTTTTTAATACTTATGATATAAATGTAATACATTTACAACATAAGTATTAACAACGCATTTATACCATATATGATGTGTGGTATAAATGTCTTAACTCATTTATACCATACATTATGTATGGTGATAGTAATATGTAATATTTTTATTACCATAATATAATACATTACGTAATATAATAGTATAAATGTATTAATTCATTAACAATATACATTATGTATGGTATTAATGAATGCTTTGTATGAAGAAATGCTTGTTTTTCAAAAACAGACAAATTATGAAGTAATTGCGGAGTAATTCGTCTGTTATTTTTTTTTTTTTTAATATTTTATTAATAAATTGTTAAAAACAAAATAAATCATTTTTAAATATTTTAAAATAAAATATCAAATTAAAAAAAAAAATTCGTTTATTATTATTATTATATTTTCTTTATAATACATGATTAGAGGTGGATGCAGTGCTGTTAAGTTAAGAGTTTTATTTACAATAGTTTAAATAACCGATCCTTCTTCCGCTCATCGAGTTGTTGTTGTATTTTTTTTTTTTTATAATATATATTATGATACCTTTTATTGTAATTTAAATAGTTTCAAATGTTTGTTTCGTCAAAAAGGTACTCTTGTTTAAAGTCCCAAAACATCACTCGGAGGAAAACTGGCTGGAGAGGGAATGGTATTAAACGCAATTTGAACCACAAGATGTAGGAAGTGACAAAAGCATATATAGTTAAATAGCACACGCCACTAAATTAGCCCACAAAACGTGACTGAGTTATGTACATCAATAAAAGTTGAAGCGCGGTCTGATTTGTATCCAATGTAGTTCTTTATGAGAATACAAAACGGCTTTTATTTAATCTTTTCAAAAAATTCTTTTTTTAGAATTTACACAATGACTTTCTGAATTATTTTAATGCACTTAGTTCGATGGACTTGGACTTGGATGAACTTAGATGGACTTGGTGCATAAATAAGTTTAAGTGGACTTAGTGCAGAGATTTCTTTTTTTAAAGTTGATGTAATAACTTTCTGGTTTACTATAACGCACTAAGTTTGCTGGAGTTTAAGGCGTTTAAGCGTTTATGTTTAAAACTCCACTTAAAAGCTGTTGAAAAGGCTGAGTGGCAACAGATACACATTACAATATAAGTATATGCTTTTTTTGTTACATCTGTAATTTTTACTTGAGCTGGTAAAGTGATCTTTTGAAACGGATTCAAATTTTTCTCTCTTTTAATGTGCTAATTTTTGATGTTGCTTTTGTCTACCTTTGTGTTGGCGAAGATCAGTGCATTAGAGGTAACAAAAAAAGCTTGTTTAGTTGCTTTGGAGTACTCTATATGTCAATTGACAATGTAAACCATAACCTTTTCTAATTTTTACTGGTAATTTTTTTAATTACTTACTAAATTGATGTATGAAACGGCATTATTACAAATTTTGAAGAAAAAAGCGAAACCTTATTATTTAATTGAGCAACTTACTCCACAATAGAATGTTTTCCTTCTGCATGCAAATAACAATTATATAAATAATAAATTGCACAGCCAAAATTATGTACAGTTACATTTTAGAAATTATTACAAGATGTTTAGTTAGAAACTATTACAAGATGCTTTATCTTCTGGTCATTTCAGGAATCAAAGAGAAAAGCTTTTAAGCAAAAAATCTCCAAACTATAATTTAGTTTGTGCTAATGTTAGGTATACATCAATTAAAGTTATACATAACTCAGCCGCAACATTTTTTAATCTTATAAGTCGTTTGAATACAGACACAGGGACGGCGCGAGTAAGTGTCACGCGGGGGCGGGGTTGCCATTAAAATTTTTGCTCACTAAAAAAAATAAAAAAAGATCCTCGTTTTTTCAAATTTGCCGACTGACTAATCTAAAAGGTATACATTTGTTGACTGACCTGCCTAAAAGGTTCAAATTTGTCGACTAAACGAACAAAAAATTCATTGATGGAGGAGGGGGTGTCTCAATCCCAGCCACACACACACACGCGCACACACCCTTTGCGCAGGCCTTGTTCAAACAAAATTATTAAACAACATAATACAAAGCTTTAACAAAGTATTCTTAAATCCATTTTACCATGTGACTTATAAATATTTTTATATTGTTAGCAAGTTTAATTGGCTTTAACTTATTTATATGGTAATAATAAATATGTAATAGAAAATTAAACTTACACCATGTTCTGTACCTAGCAGGTTCAGAACAACCTTGATTTTTAGGGCAGTTTCCACTTTTGCTATGTGTTGTTATGGTATTGCGTCCATTAGACGTTTGCAATGTACACGACCCGGGATTCGGCTTAGGCAAATATTCTGAATAGGAAGTATGACATACAGTCCATGAACATTTGGAGTTTGACTGGCAAGCGTTAGAAGGCGTAATAAAACATAATAAGTTGTAAATAATAAAGAGAAAAAAAACAGCCATCGGGGTTGTAGCAAAAAACGTTGGGTTTTAAACGTTATATGAAAATAACATTGATATTGAAAACGTTTCCACCTAAGCAAATAAAAAAATGAACTATGTTTAAATAGCTGATCAAACTATATAAGGAAACAACTAGAGTATAATGGAGAAAAAAAAACTTAATTTATTCAGTAACTGCACAATAGTTACTTTTTCTGCAAAATTATAAAATTTAAAAATCAAATTAATATATGTATAATGTACTAGTATTAAAACAATTGTATGTAAAATTTACTAATATTACAATAATACAAACACTATAATTGGCTGACAAACCAAAATAACCTAAAAACATTTAATGTCACGGTCTTAAATTTAATTTTAATACTTCTTAGGTCGATAATTACAGTTATCGTTGTATATTATTATATTAATTGAGACTGTCTCTATTGTAACTTGAGAAAAAGAGTGAGATTTTCGGTTTATGTACTAGGATGGAGGCGAACTTAAAAATTTTTTGGTTATAAATTGCTGGGTACGGGAATTATTTAAAGTTTTTGTGTGAGTGCTACTATTTTAATGTTAAAATTTTCATCTACAATTTTAAAGATCTTATATATTTATATAAATATATAAGATCTTTATATATATATAATATATATATAAATATATATAAAATATATATATATATAAAATATATATATATATATATATATATATATATATATATATATATATATATATATATATATAAATATATATATATATATATATATATATATATATAAATATATATATATATATATATATATATATATATATATATATATATGCATGCGTGTATGTGTGTGGGGTGGGGGGAGGGAAGGGTGTGTGAATGTGAGTGAGTAATTTTAAATCTATTGTACAAAGTTGGTTGCTGAATGTTCTAAAACCCAGTGGACACGGACGTAAAAAAAGACGTTTTTTAAACGTCTTATCTACGTTTTAGACGTCTTTTGAACGTTTAAAAGACGTCTTCTTTTAGTCCAGTGCTCTATGGGAAAGAACAGAGCAATAATAAGTTTAAAGCGTTTTGAATGACAAAACTGAACTATTAAAACCTTGTTGAAAAAACACAAAGGTAAAACTGAAAGGTTGCTACTTTAAAAAAAAAAAGACTTTTTCATTTTTAACGCCGTCAAAAAAGATCGTAAAATCACATGTTCTGAGATAAAACTTGATATGAAATTTATTAATATCTCAAAGGGGACAATATGTTGTTGAATAAAAGCGTCTGGTAATTTTAATGCTAAAAAGCAAATAAAAAACCCCATTTTTAGTGAAATCAATCACAAAAGTTGATTAAAGTGGTGCATTAAGCACAGAAATTGTACTAGTAAACATAGGGATAAAGTTATTTAGAGCAACATGCCTTGATGTGTTTTGTTTTATAATGGTCGATCTCACTATTAAAAACTAGAAAAAAATTTCAATTGCTAAACATGCAATCAACCATTAAATATGAGAAAAAAAAACTAATGTTTAGGTGCATACAAAGTTTGAATACTTTACCGAGTGATGTCTAACATTGTATCATGGACTAGCATTTGTATCACAAAATCTTAGTTAATCAAATTTGAAGTAAAAAAGAACTTTTTCCTAATGGTGACTACATCTTTTAAGAAGATAACGATCCCAAAAATACAGCAAGTTTGACTAAAAATATCTAGGTTTTAGATTGGTATCAGTTATGTCTTAGCCAACACACTCTCCTGATTTAAATCCATTAGAAACCTTTGGTCACTATTGGATCAAAAATTGCAAGATCGTAGGGCAATAAAACGATAATGAAATGTTTTTTGTTTGTTTGTTTTTTCTTATATATATTTCGTCATCTTCATAATAAATTATTTACAGTATTTTTTTCTTTAGTTAAGATGTGACGGGAGCAAACAGAATACAAAAGTCATAATCCGGTCCCCTTGCATCATTGGAAAAAAATTTGGAAAATTTTTATCTATGCGGGATTGGTTTTTTTTTTTAATTTTTAAATTATTAAAATCTGAAACTTTTTAGATTTTTTTTTATATATTACTATATACTATGAAACGAAAATAATTTTTTTTAAAAAAATAAAAATTAGTGGGATAAAGTGCGTATATTAGTGGGATAAAGAATAAAATAAATTTGTTAAAATATAATAAGACATATAAATTTAACACAATCAGACTTTATTTGTTTAAATGTTGTCATTTAAAGTTAGACAATATAACTATAATAACTGTTTATAGTTAGATGGTTTTAAAAAACAAGATAAGGATTTTTTGCATATTAATGCCTAAATTTTACCTTTCCAAAACAATTCAATTTTACATTTCTAAAAACTGCAATTCCACATAAATAAAAAATTACTTTTTTCTAATTTTTTTTTCCTAAAGTCATTATTTACATAGAGTGGCACCATAAAAATTATCCGACAAATTAAAAATCAAAAATTTTTAAAAGTATAATGTACCCCAATATACATTTCTGTAAAAGTTGTCATGACTTACATTTACTTTATAAGTTTTACACATTTTTTGTTTGTTTTTATGTCAAAAAGTTGGTTGTGACTTTTTTTTTCAACCCCTGTATATATATATATATATATATATATATATATATATATATATATATATATATATATATATATATACATATATATATGTATATATATGTATAACAAAAAATATATATATATAAATATAATAAAAAATATATATATATATATTATTTGTTTTTTTGTTATTCATCTCCTCAAGGCCGAGAAGGCCACTACAGACGAGGAGGCTACTTAATAGTGGTTATAACCCTCTCTCAATTCTATAACTCCGAAACACGAACCTTGAAGAACAAGGCCGCTGCGCGGAGAAACAAGTTGAATATATATATATATATACATATATATATATATATATATATATATATATATGTATATATATATTGAGTATACATATATATATATATATATATATATATATATATATATATATATATATATATATATATATATATATATATATATGTATATGTACATATATATATATATATATATATATATATATATATATATATACATATATATATATATACATATATATATATATATACATATATATATATATATATATATATATATATATATATATATATATTGAGTATATATACATATATATATATTGAGTATATATATATATATATTGAGTATATATATATATATATATATATATATATATATATATATATATATATATACATATATATATATATATATATATATATATATATATATATGTATATATATATATATATATATATATACATATATATATATATATAGACATATATATATATAAATATATATATATATATATATATATATATATATATATATATATATATATATATATATATATATATATATATATATATATATATATATATATGTATATATATATATATATATATATATATATATATGTATATATATGTATATATATATATATATGTATATATATATATATATATATATATATATATATATATATATATATATATATATATATATATATATATATATATATATATATATACATAATAGATTGTCGAATCTATCTGTTGAATTGCCAGTTTTGCAACTGGAAATATGTCCATTTGTGCGGTTTCTTAAATTGTTTGTTTTTCCAGTATAAGTAGATAGTCCATTACATGATAAGCATTTTAGATAATAAATGGCATTTTTACTATTACATGTAGTGTGACTTTTAATGTTCCAAATTGTGCCATTGGATGTCTCAAATTTATCTACTTCTTGTAAATATAATCGGCAGATTTTACACCAATTACATTTTAGATTGTTTATATATAAATTTAAAGAGTTCAAAAAATGTCATTGAAAAAGAAAACAGCTACAATATTGAAAACGTTTTATCAAATGATATTAGTAATGATAACCATATATCAGAAAGTTTATCTTCAAAAAACTGGATAAACACAATACCAAAAAAATACAACCTAAGGTCGTCAACTTATCCACCAAGCACCTGACCACTTCCTAAATAACACTTCTGACAAAAGGACCCAAATTCTGTCCAGCTACAAAAGGAAATTTTTTACATATCAAATCAGACATTCGGCAGTTCACACGGAAACTCAGATTAAAAGAAAAAATCTTTGAATTACACAATAACGATATTAAAAATAAATCGAAATATAATAATAAAACAACTCTACCTGAACTTGATGAAATAATTTCAAGAATTGAGCAAGTAAATCCAATAAAAATTCAATCAGATGACAACATTTCAATACAAGAAAGAATTGCTTTAAAAGAACTCAAAGAAATGAAAGATATTGTTATTAAAAAAGCAGATAAAGGTAACACCTTAGTTATAATGGATTCAACCTATTATAAAGACAAACTAGTTAATCAAGATCACCTATTTTCTTTAACGACATATGAAAAAACTAATATTGACTCTGAAAAAAAAGTTTTCAAAAATCTTTCAAAAATGATTGCGAAACATAAATGTTTAACACAAAACGAAATTGATTATATCACAAATTTCGAATGGAAATCTAGTACTTTTTATGTAATCCCTAAAATTCATAAATGCAATGAAATTATTAAAAAGGTTCAAGAATCTAGCTTTCTATTTATCGAAATGAAACCACCAAAAGATTTAAAAGGTCGGCCCATTATTGCTGGTATAGATTCACCAACATCGCATCTAAGCCAACTTCTTCACACAATCCTATCTCCTAATGTAAAGGAACAAAAGACTTTTGTAAAAGATGACTGGGATTTTTTAAGAAAAATTCCTAGAGTAATGGATTCAGATAGTGTTATATTAACTTGTGACATTGTAAATATCTACACAAGCATTCCACATGATCTTGGTTTACAAGCATTAAATTTTTGGGTTGAAAAACATAAAAACCTAATAGCCAAAAGATTTACCACTGATTTTATCATAGATTCAGCTTCTTTCATTCTTAAAAATAATAATTTCGACTTTGACGATCAATTGTTTTGCCA